CACCAGGTGCCAGAGGAGCATGGGGGAGGAATTCTAACCCAGGCTGGGTATCAGGGGTGCACCCCAAGGGAGGTAAAACCAGACATCCAAAGAGTGGGAGTTAATCAGGCTTGAGCAGAGGGGAGGGTGCTTGAGGCACAGTGAACAGTGCATGCAAAGGCCTTGTGATAAGAGCTGCATTGACTCTAGTTAGGATGGGGGAAATGACCAGGGATGCGGCCAGTAAGGAAGCTTTGACTGCCAAGTGTGTGTCTGAGGCACCAGGGAGCTATCAAAAGGCTTATGACATCAAATCTCTTTGTTAGAAAGCTCTCTTGGGCAATATCGAAGGGGATTGTTGGAATGGGAAGGGAGTGGTTGAGGAGTGAAAAGGACCTTTCAAGAGGCTCTCACAGTTCCGTAGAGGCAGTGACACAAACTTGTAGCTGGCATCAATTATTCCAAGTGGCGCTTGAGCATTGGCTCGGGTGGGATACACAACAGGTGCAAGGGGGTTGGTTGGTCAGAAGGGAAGAGAAACAGGAGGTATGTGGGAGGGGGTGGAGGCCAGGGCTGGGGGAGTAAAGGGACCACTCATAGTTTGGTAGAAAGGGTAATAGAATTGTCTATTCAATTTGATCAAGATGGCCAGAGAGACACAACAGATTAACGTAGTTTCAGAGATACGAGTGGTTTCATCAAATTGGACAGACCAAAAACACTCCTCAGACGGATATGTTCCAAGTTTATCAGACTATAAAGGGAACAAACAGGCTGACAATGGATTGATTTGTCAAATTCTGGAGCAGTAGAACTGTGGGATGTCTCTTGAAGTTCAAATACAAGGAGAGAGCATGAAGTTCATCATAGTGATTTCCCAGAAATGGTCTTGATTCCATCATTAGAGGCTCAAAACCTTCCAGACAGTCCCCAACACCACAAGATGGAGACAAAGTATTTTTCCTGTCTGCAGTACCACTTTGCTTCGTGATTCCAGCTTGTCTTTCTCTACAGCAGAACCCCTTTGCTCTAGACAAGAGGAACCACACAGACTGCCTCTTGGGCTACCTACACCTTCCCAATTTAACCTCTCTGCTTGCCTGGAATGCCCTGTGCCTGCCTCTCCATATGTCTTAACACTTCTTGTATTTTAAGGTCCAGCCAAAATCCCATCTCTTCTGGAAAGTCTTTCCTGATCATCCAAATTCAAAAGGATCTCTTCCTTTTCTGCATTCCAACAGAAATTAATTGTCTTTAATATTCATTACACATTCACACCTCCTCTTGCATTGTTACCCCTTCCTAAGCCCTGAACCCCCTCTCCTAAATTAGATGATAAACATTTTGAGGTTGGGAATCTATTGCTGCATAACAAAGCACTCCATTCAGTGGCTTAAAACATCATCCACTTTACTAAATCGCTTGATTTTGCGGCATAGCAATTCAGGCAGAAGTTTAGCTGAGCAATTCTTCTGTTTCATATAGAGTCTGCAGAGGTCACCTGGTGGGATTTAGCAGGTGGATAGACTAGTACTGAGGGTATAAGGTGTCTTCACGCACATTTCTGGAGCCTTGGCTGGAAGACTGGGCTCTCAGCTGAGCATATTGACTGAAGCACCTGAAGACATGGTCTGTCTGGTATGAGGGCCTCAGAGTAGCTGGACTTCTTCCGAGATGACTCAGGGCTACCAGGAGTATTCCAAGAGGCTGGGGAGAAGCTGCAACACTTCCTGTGACCTTGGAAATCCCACAATTTCACTTTTGCCACATTCTATTAGTCAGACAAGTCACTAAGACTAGCTCAGATTCAAAAGAGTGAAATTAGATTACCTCCTAATGAGAGCAGTAGCAAAGAATATGAGACCATCTTTATTTTATCATCCAGTACTGTCCTGAGACCTAGGCAAGCATAGTCCCTGGCCCAGGTCCTGGGCCTCAGTTGGAGGAGAGGCCACACTATGAAATGTTTCTTTTGAATTTTTCTAAGTTCCCTTTCAGTGGTTGGGATTGTCTCAGTCTGTTTCTTCTCTTCAGGATACTCTCCAACCCTGCACCTCATGTGTACATCGACCAGGTGCTCTGAAAAGCATTCATGGCTCATGCCTAAGGGTTGTCTAGGACAAGCTGGCAAGCAAATTGCTTCTATTCGGCCAGCATAGTATTTCTTTTGTGTCACTGCACAAGACCACGCCACTGGAATGGTGCTTGCTGATCTGGAGGTGATTCCCACTCACACTGGATACAGGATGAGTTCAGAACTCTGAGCTATTGACAGTCCACTACTGACCTTTGGGGTTGAGCCACCTGTATGGGTCTAAGCCATGGCTCTTGCCAGCCTGTGTCTGACCACAGGGCTGCCTCCAGGCTGCAGTGTACCAGAATAGTGGGGTGGCAGTATCCTTTGCCCTGTGTGGGGCTCCCCATTACCAATTGGTCAGGGTGGTTAGTCCACCCTCTCCACAGGCTTTTCACCACATGCCAGGCAGTCCTCCAGAGGTGAGCGTGCCTATCTCATCTCCACTCAAGACCATTGCTTTGCAATGCCAACTTGTTTTCACAATCAGTGTCTTCTTCCTTTTGATTAATGTAGTGACCTGAGGAACTACCAGGTCAGTCTTAAGCTGGTTCAGGTGACGGCCAGCTATTTCTTACATGCAATATCTTGCTCCACCCATTGGACCCTAGCCTATCCACTCCTTCCCCTCTGCCAGCTGGTTTCAGTGCATGGAAGGCAAGGGTGGAGTCAACACCAAAAGAGATCATGTTCTAGGAATGCAGTGATTAACATCTAAGAATTCAAGAGAAGACGTGGTCAGAAGATATATTATACATTTGCACTACAGAAATGTTTTTAATTTTGATTTTATTTTTATGTATTGATTTATTTTAGAGAGAGAGAAATATAAATTTGTTGTTCCACTCGTTTATGCATATATTGGTCAATTGTTATATGTGCCTTGACCAGGGATCAAACCCACAACCTTGGTGTATCAGGATGATGCTCTAACCAACTGAGCTACCTGGGCAGGGCCTATACTACAAAATTCCCAACATTGAGTTATTATTCATATTTCACTGCATACTCTAGGCAAAACTTGCCATTAACTCTATCCCACTCTCATCACATAATATTCTAATTATCTGTGTAGATGTTTCCCTCCCAGTATATTAAAGAACTTCTATGGCAAGCAGGTGTCTTACTCATCTTTGTAACACAACCCTTGCATTGTATTGTATGAGCTCAGTGAGTATATGCAGGATGATTCATGAAAAGAGACCACTGAGGAGCCTAGAGAACAGTTCTAGTAGAACAAAGGAGAGGCTGGAGGGCAAGTCACTCACAGAAAATGTCAGCAATGTAAATCAATTGGTTGATCAAGTGGTTTAGCCTTAAAAGAAGAAGAACTGGGAGAGAAGTTAAAAGTGCAGCATGATGGAGGGATGGAGTTCTCTTCTCTTCAGAGGAAGGAATAAACACATACAAAGTCCTAACAGGCCGAGTGGCAGTGGGGAGGTCCTCTAGACTTCAATTTCTTCATCTGCCTTTCCCACGTCACAGGGATGTTGTGAGGTCCAAAGAAGAATGAGATATACGCATAAACATTCTTTGAAATAATTTAAAATTTCTATCCAACCTCTGATAGCTTCCAACTACCCGTAGAATTAAAAAATCTATAAATAAAAATCTAAGCTTAACATTTATGATCCCCCATGATCTGGCTCCAGGTTTTCTTCTAATTCTAATTACTGCCACAAGCACCCAAAACACAGCCACAGGAGATTCATGTTCTTTTCCCCATTTGCTTAAGTTATTTTCTCAGCTTCAAATGCCTCCCCTTCATCTCCACCAAGCCAGTACAAGAAACATATACTGAGTAGTAGTGTGTGCAAGACACAATTAAAATTCTATTGATCTTTGAAGGCCCTATTTATGTTATTTAAAAGTCCCTGAACACTTGCTTTTCTCCATGGAAATGGTTCTTCATATCTATTGTAGCACTTATTTTACCTGATAGTATAGCTCATGACTAGTCCTGTCGACAGAAAATGAAAGATGAGAGATTTGAGGGCTGTGTCTTACTAGTATTCCTACACCTAATATCCATGTCTTGTAATAGTATGTGCTCATTAATAAATAAATATTTGAATAAATGGAAAAATAATGTTAGGGAAAGAATGTACATGGATAGACAGTCTCTTGAGACACAAAAGTGGGTGGGATCCAGGATACAGGAAAATAGTAGCACCAACTTGTCAAAGGAAGAGGAACGTCTCCTCCCTTGGGAGGAACCACCGATAAGCCTAGTGGGATGGAAATGGGTTAGGCCTATGTGGCGAGGCCAAAGTGTCCAAACCCTTCAAGTTCTAATTCCAACGCCACCTCCTACATTAACTCTTCCCTGAATCTATTACCAGAGCCAATCCCAGCTCAGTTCATTGTATTTGGACTTTCCACCTTGTAGACGTCTATTTGTATACATAATTTATATCCTTTCCTAGACTTCGACCTCTTTGAGGGCAGGAAAAACCTGATTTCCCCCTACAGCGTACAAGACACAGTAACCACTCATTCAGTATGGGTTTATTGGACGGATAAATAGTGTGGAAGGGGGGGAAATGGGCGGTCAAGTGAGCAGCCAAATTTGAGATAGCAGAAGCTTGTACCAGAGACTCCGGTGAAGAGCTAACTCTCCAGAACCACAATTAAGTGAAGCCTAGCAGAAACTATCCCTACCCTTCAGCAGGGAAGAGCAGATACCCACCCATTCGCTTCCAACCTTGCTCTGAGGACCTCAGGTCAGAACTCTGAGACTGCCCTTGTCAGTGCCTGACTCAGTGCTGAACAGTCTCCCGCGAAATCCATACCTCCTAGTCTCCTATTTAAGGCAGAGCCTATGACTACATTTAATCTTTTTCTCCTTTCCTCTTTTCTCGTTCTCCTTCCTTTTCTCGTAACCACCACCATCAGTAAGGCGTATGGGGGACAGCCCTGACCGGTGGGGTGGAGAGGGTCCTGAAACCGGAAGCCGAGAGCCGGAAGGAGCGCTGTGAGGACGTGTTCGGAGGAAGCTGGAGCCGGACCCTGCAGGGCCCGCGACATGGAACAGCTGTACCAGCAAACTCACAAGTGAGGGCCGCGTAGGGGCACGCGTGGGGCGAAGCTAGGCTGGGTGAGGCCGGCTTCTCAGGCTGGGGCCTGGGGCTTCCGCCTTGGTGGAGGCCGAGTTCTTCCGCCGGAGCTCTGCTGGGGGCAGTTCAGAAACTGCCAGTTGTAGGCGAGATGCCCAGCTCGGTGGCGAACGCAGTCTGGCCTGGGACCTGAGACATTATGTTAGATGGCTCCTGGGATCTCCGAGGCCGTGGCTACCTGCTGGGTAGACTAGGTGAAGTCACCTACGGGTTATACTTTGCCTCGCACCTGCCAACTCAGTCCTTGGGGTTGGTAGAGCTCATGGAGAGACACTGGGCCCTGCACAGAAGAGTTTGCTGTTTAGTTGGAGAGTTAGGCAATGTACGAAAAAGGAGCTAACGTGTAGAAAGATACGAACAGGATCAGCTTAAGCAATTTAGAAGGATCCATCACTGGGCTAATGTCAGAATAAGTTTCATTATAGTTCCTAAACGATGTCAGTCTCCAGTCTTGATTGATGCTACATTGTAATTTTTTTCTTATTCTGATTTACTTTATACTAAAGACCATATTTTTATGGTACGAGGAAATTGCTGTATAAGTAGCACTACTTGTTATTCCTATCTAGTTACAGATTACCGTTAAGATCAAATTTTGATTTAGCTTCCCAATTTAAATTCCTTGGTAGTATCCTTTATTAATATTGTCCTGCATTTTTGGAATTTGCTGAGATATGTAGTTAATTATGGTAACAGGGACCATACCTATCTTGTTATTTTGGAAAGAACTTCTGTGATTTATTTCATTTTTATTGTGGTAAAATATACATAACATAAAACCATGATAATCATTTCGATGCGTATAAATCAGTGACATTAAGTACATTCACAGTGTTGTTTAACCAGCTATTCATTTCCAGAACTTTTTCATCAGCACAAACAAACCTGTTGTACCCCTTAGGCAGCACTCTCCCATTCCTCCTTTCCCAAGCTCCTGGTTACCTCTGTTCTAATTTCTGTCTCTGAATTTACCTGTTCTAGGTATCTCATATAAGTGGAACCATACAGTATATGTCCTTTTGTGTTTGGCTTATTTCACTCAATGTGTTTTCTTTCTATCCGCCCTTTCTTTCTCAATCTGAGGACTTCCCCCCCCCATTGCTTTTAGAAAGAAAGGGAGAGAGAAACACTGACCAGTTGCTTCCTGTATGTGCTCATAGCAGGGATCACATGCATTTGGACTGGAGATCACACCCACATCCTAGGCACGTGCCTTGACCAGAAATCGAACCCACAACCCTTGGGTTAAGGGATAATGCTCCAACCAACTGAGCCACTCCAGATAAGGCTCACTTAACATCTTTTCACAGCTCATCTTTGTTGTGGCCTGTATCATAATATCACCCCTTTTATGGTTGAATAATATTCCTGTGTGTGTACACAATCCATACTTTGTTATCCATTCATCTGCCAATGGTTGCTTGGGTTGTTTCTTCCTCTTGGCTATTGTGAATAATGCTAATATGAACATTGGTGTAAACCTGTTTGAGTCCCTGTTTTCATTTTTTTTGGAGTATATATCTATAGCAATCCTATTTTAACAGCTTCCATATTTATGCCGTAGTTTTGTTGTGATGAAAATAAAACCACACACCTTGGGCCTGCAAATGAATTAAAAAAGGGGCTTGCCTCCTTAATGGCTTCACAACAACAGAAATGCTCTGGAGCATTAGGAGTAAGGATGGTGATCCTCTTACTCTTTCATTTTCCAAGAGTTTTGGTTTCTTTTTACTTTAGTGATTAAGTGTTTGGTTTGGGTGGGTAAAAATATATAGCCTACTTTGTAATGGTATTAAAATGGCAGAATTTGCTCTTATACTGGAGAGCCCTATTTTATATAAAAATTATAAGAGATTTAAACTATTAGACCCGCGAGTCAACTGGAAAAGGAAGGAAACAAATTATGCTCATGCTACTAGGAAAGGTAGATCTTTTATAATAGTAAGGCTCAGTGGGCCAAGTATGCCTTGTAGTTAATCAGTCTCATCCAGCTAGTTGATGTGGTAAAAGGATGTTGCTAAGGAGACTGACCAGTTTATTCTCAAGAAGAATTTTATTTAGAGTCTCAGACTGTACGTGTTATCTGGGTAGGAGGTAGTCAACCACTGAGAAATCTAAGTTGCTCAATTTTTTGTAAATTTAGGGAGAGGAGAAATACTAAGTGGTGTCTCAAACAAGATTGTAAAGTGTAGATGAAGTACTTACCTCTGCAGGCCTCCCAATAATCTACCATTAGACTTTATAACAGGTCCCACCAACTTCTGTCAATGGTGAGATAGTAAGTATTTCACACTTTGCAAGCCATAGAGTCTTTGAGGCAGCTACTCAACTCTGCTGTTACAGCATGAAAGCAGACACAAACAATATATAAACAAATAGATGTGGCTGTATTCCAATAAAATTTTATTTACAAAAATAGGCAGTGGGCCAGATTTGGCATATCACTGTTACGTCCCCTACAGTGCAGTCACTCATTCATTCAGTACTACTGTGTGTTCAGCACCATTCTCAGTTCTGGCAGTACAGCCCTGCCTCAGGGAGTTTCCCGTTTCTCATGCTGCAGTATATTCTAATCTGCCTTTCTCCTCAAGTACTAAACTGGTGGTAGTTCTGGCTCTAGACCTCCGCCTTGTTTTTCCTCGTCTATAAAATAATAAGTTTTGGGCTGGTTAAACTGTAAGGCTCCTTTCAGCTCCATAATACTGGTGATCAGGTGTCTTTAAAAGGAAACATGCAGAGTCCTGCAAGCATCAGAAATTAACTTCTGCAGTTGCAGAAATTAATGATCGTAGCTAAATTGAAGCAACAGTAACTGAACATATTAATTGTACTGGAACTTTGAACCCAAATTATGGTTATCTCTTGCCGTGTTCCTGAAAGTACACTGGAATTAGATAAACATTTTTGAGTTATGTATCTTAAAAACTCCTGAACTGCCCGAACAATGAATGGAAAAGAAAACGAAAAGCAAAATAAACATTTTATACTTAATGTGTTAGGATGAACTTTAAAGAGGAGCCAATGGCCAGGCTTCTGTTTTTTGAGATCCCAGTGTTGGAAGGGTGCCCCATTTGTCCCCCTGTAGCCCTGGAAATTCTGATTCAGAAATGTTCTTGTATGACGGGTTTGGAATACAAGAAGCTCTATTTTTTTCTCTATCTGTGAGTCTGCTTCTATTTTGTTTGTTGGCTTATTTTGTTCATTATATTTCACATATGGGTGAAATCACATGGTATGTGTTTTTCTCTGACTGCCTTATCTCACTCAGCATAACTGCTCTCCAGGTCCATCCATGTTGTTGTAAAGGCTGAGATTTCCCTTTTTTACAGCCAGGTAGTATTGCATTGTATAAATGTACCATAGGTTTGTTTTTTTTATCGACTCATCTTTTGATGGGCAGTTGGGCTGCTTTCATATCTTGGTGATTGTAAATAATGCCGCAGTGAACCCTGGGGTGCACGTATTCTTTCAAATTAGTGTTTCAGGTATCTTTGAATGTATTCCCAGAAGTGGAATCACTGGGTCATAAGGCAGTTACATTTTTAATTTTTTGAGGTAACTCCATATTGCTCTCCACAGTGGTTGCACCAGTCTGCATTTCCACCAACAGTGCACAAAGGTTCCCTTTCTCTACATCCTCAGCCAACACTTACTATTTGTTGATTTACTGGTGATAGCTATTCTGACAGATATGAAGTGACATCTCACTGTGGTTTTAGTCTACATTTCCCTAATGATTAGTGACATTGAGCATCTTTTCATAATGTTTATTGGCCATCCATATCTCCTGAGAAGTGTCTGTTCAGGTCCTTTGCCCATTTTTAAATTGGATTTTGTGTGTGTGTGTGTGTTAAGAAGCTCTATGTTTTTAGCAAGCTCTTCCGGTGATTTTGATGAGCAGCTGGGTTTAAGAACTTTACCTTATGTCAAGACCAGTTTTTCCTTTTTTTATTTTTTATTTTGCCTTCTGATGAGAGGCTAAATACTGTATAATAGAGGCAAAGTGGGTGAAGTAAAAATGACCAGACAATTTTACTACTTTTAAGTTAAGTTAATACAACAAACTCTTATCATGCTGCATAGGTTACATAGCATTTTCATGTTGCATTTGGATCTACCACCCTAAAAGTAATTGTGATTATTAGTATCCCTATTTTACAGTTGAGGAAACTGAGGCATAAAAGAGTTATATGACTTGGGAAAAAGAAAAGTTTTATGACTTGTTCAGTGTCCTTCAGCCAGTTCATAGTGGAACTAGAACTTCAATCAGATCTTTTAACTCCAAAACCTTGTTTCCCTCTTATGGTACTCAGAGACAGCATGGTTAGACTTTAAAAAGAAATTCTGGGACTTACGGCCAAGATTGAGGCGTGGGTGGAAACATTGTGCCTCCTCACACAACCAAGTTTAAAGACAACAAAGTTTTAGTGACAAAAACGCAACCAAAACACAGAAAATGAACTGTGTGGAAGTCCGACAACAATGAACCATTCAGCCAGACTGATAAGAGGGGCAGAGTCAGTGGCTGGCAGAGCAAGGTCGCAGCAGGAAAAAGCAGCCGGACTGACCCAGGTGTGCAGGCGGTGGTTGGCAGATCCCAGGTGTGGGGTGGCAACAGGCAGACCCAGTGAGGGCACAAGGCAGCTAGCTGACGGTCACACATCCACATGCAGATAAATCAGGCAAAGGAGCGAGCAGTGAGACAGACCGCACAGGCTAGGGCCACAGCAACGGGGATTAAAGCCTAAAAGCACCAATTGGAAAAACTTTCGGGGTTGAGGTGCTGGGAGAAGCTCCCAGGCTCACAGAGAGTTTGTTGGAGAGACCCCACAGGGTCCTGGAGGGTGCACAGGCCCACACACCCAGGAACCGGCACCAGGGGTCCTAGTTTGCTTGCGGGAAGCAGCAGAGGGGACCGAAATCTGAGAGAGTGAAACAAACGCCATTGTCCCTCTCTGACCCCGCCCCCACATAAGCATCACAACCCAGCCACTGGGTTGCCCCATCCTGGTGAACACCTAAAGCTCCAGCCCTCATACCTAATAGGCACGAACAGACCAAAACATTATGGCTCAGGAAGAACAGCTCAAAGCCCCAGAGCCAATACTTCTAAGTGACCAAGAGATAGCCAACCTATCAGATGCACAGTTCAAAATACTGGTGATCAGGATGCTCACAGAACTGGTTGATTTTAGTCACAAATTAGAGGAACAAATGAAGGCTAAACTAATTGAAATGAAGGGAAATGCACAGGAAACCAATAGTGATGGAAAAGAAACTAGCACTCAAATCAAGGGAGTGGACCAGAAGGAAGAAAAAAATGACCAAACAGAAAAGAATGAAGAAATGAGAATTCAAAAAAATGAGAGGCTTAGGAACCTTCAGGACATCTTTAAACGTTCCAACATCTGAATTATAGGGGTACCAGAAGGGGAAGAGGAAGAGCAACAAGTGGAAAATTTATTTGAACAAATAATAAAGGAGAACTTCCCCAATCTGCAAAGGAAATAGACTTCCAGGAAATCCAGGAAACTCAGAGAGTCCCAAAGAAGTTGGACCCAAGAAGGAACACACCAAGGCACATCATAATTATATTAGCCAAGATTAAAATGAAGGAGAGAATCCTAGAAGCAGCCAGAGCTAAGGGGACAGTCACCTACAAAGGAGTTCCCATCAGACTGTCAGCGGATTTCTCAAAAGAGACCTTACAGGCAAGAAGGGGCTGGAAAGAGGTATTCCAAGTCATGAAAACCAAAGACCTACAACCAAGATTGCTCTACCCAGCAAAGTTTTCATTTAGAATGGAAGGACAGATAAAGTGCTTCTCAGATAAGACCAAATTCGAGGAGTTCATCATCACCAAGCCCTTATTATATGAAATGTTAAAGGGACTTAGCTAAGGAAAAGAAGATAAAAAAGATAAACAGTGAAAGGACAGCAAACTCACAGTTACTAACAGCCACACCTAAAAAAAAAGCAAACTAAGAGGACAGCTAGATCAGGAGCGGAACCATAGAAATGGAGATCACATGGAGGGTTAGCAGGGGAGTGGGAGGAGGAGAAGGGGGAGAAGGTATAGAGGATAAGTAGCGGAGACGTTAGGTAGAAAATAGACAGGGGGAGGGCAAGAATAGTATGGGAAATACAGAATCTAAAGAACTTGTGACACATGGACATAAACGAAAGGGGGGGAATGGGGGGGAGGGGGAAGTGCAGGGGGGAGGGGAATGAAGGGGGGAAATGGGATAACTGTAATGGCATAATCAATAAAATATATTTTTTAAAAAATTCTGTTTAAAATGCTTCCCAGATTTTTTACTGACCCTTTTAAAAAAATCAGCAATAGTGACCCTTGCTTACTTCCTCCTGTGTCTCTCTGCTCAGTTACGTTATCACCCAAGCCCATCATGGACCCCATGCTAGACAGTGTGAGGACTTCTGGTTTCTGGTGTCCACAGTCCTGGGTCTCATCAGCGTAGCATCTGTTCCTTACTGGCTTTGAGTGTGTTGTCTGAACCCCCAGTTCAGTTTAAAACAGATTTTCCACTTGGCACATAGTAGTTCCCACCATGCCATGCATACTTGCTTTGTTGTTTTGCATATATTTCCTCTCAGGCGTGAAATGGAGAGATTGGAATCACTTTATTGGGTATATTTTTTTTTTCTAGTTCGTTCGAAGCAAAAAGATTGGATGACAAAAAATCAGTTGTGTTTCCCCACTACTTTAAAAAAAATTTAGTTACTTTTAGAAAGAGGGAGTGAAACATTGATGTGTAGTTGCCTCTCACATGCCCCCAACTGGGGACCTGGCCCGCAACCCAGGCACATGCCCTGACCGGGAATCAAACCGGCAACGTTTTGATTCACAGGCTGGCACTCAGTCTACTCAGCCACACCAGCCGGGGCTCCCTGCAGCCTCTCTAAGGTTATCCTTTTTAGCTTAGGAAATGGTAAAAGTCAGCTGAAGGGTGTTACAGGGTTTGGTGGGTGTTGGCCTCATCTCTCCCACTGTCCTGTAGAATTTAAGAATTGAAAGGGACTAGGAAGATCTCTCATTCTACCTTACACTGGTCACCCTTTGTGTTTAAACCTGCAGGGGCTCTTTCTTTCCTTTTCTTGACGAGATAGTTCATAATTCTTTTTGTTTGTCTTTTTTTCTTATGTTACCCTGAAATCTGTCATCTTGAAATGTGCCCCTTTAGTCCCAGTCCTCCCTTCCCGCGCAGCAACAGAGCAAGCCTGTTCCTCGGTCCACTCTGGGTGATCCGAAGAGCAGCAGCTGCTCCATCTTTCTTTTGTTTTCTCTTTTCCAAGAAGCTTATCGTCACTATTTACTATTTTGACCGTTTCCCTTCATGAATTGACTTCTTTTCAGCTGCCATTGGGGGAAACCTTTAATTGATAGGATGTCTTTATCAGATGGCTCTCAGAATTGAATGTCATTCTATAGTGTCCATTTGACTTAAAAAAAAAAACCCTAAAGTCAATACTTTTTAATCCCTATTTTAGTCTAAATGGAAAATGTTAATGTTTGTTTTGTTGTACAGTATCCTAACCCCTTATCCTGGCACAAAGTCATGTGCAAATTCCATAAACATAAGTCGACTCCTTTTCAATATTGAATGAAACAGAACCAAAGGCAGCACTGTGGTGGAACCTGGAAATCAGTCCCTCAGCCTGTAATGTCACCAAACCTTGTTCACCATAAGAGATCACGAGAAATGGTCAAATGCCTCTTGAAATCGACATAAACTTCCTGCGGTGTCCTCAGTGCATTGCTCCTTGCCCACTGTAGGCACACCTGTGGTTTTATTCCCCACTTGCCCGTGGACCCTCGTGATTGTACATCCCACTGACTTGTTGCGTGAGTGAGTGAATGAATGGCTGAGTGAAAAAATGAATGATCCTTGTTAAACCATCGACTCTTAACATCTGGGAAAAAACTATTATAGTTATTTTATCTGCGAAATATTTCAGACATAAAAATAGGTACTAATGTAACATGTTAGGACTCATTTAATACATGTGCTCCAGGTCAGAGATTTAAAGATGAAAGAGCTGAATCCCACGCCCATTCTCTCCCCTTTCGAGGCCATATTCCTAGAAGTAGAATGCTGGGCTAAAGGATACACACGTATTCGACTATCAGGCATTGTCAAAAGGCGGTTAAAAGTGTTTCTACCAGTTTATAGTCCTACCAGTCTTGTACAAGAGTTCTAGTTTCCCTGTCCTTATCAGCAGTGTTCAGACTTTAAAGTATTTGCTAATCTAATGGGTGACATGTGATGTCACATTGTTCCTGTTCCTGTCAGTAATGCCACCAGTGTTCAGATTTGCTGTTAGGCCACCATTGGAAATTTCCCTCACGGCCTGCATCCAGGCCTTCCGTAAAGCCTCAGTTCTCTCTCCAGTCGGCGTGACCATCCTGTCCTCTGTGGCTGCTTCCGCTGTCGCCCTGATCCAGCTGTTCCTTGCCTCAGGCTGAATTCCTGCATTTGCCTCCATGTCTCCCTGCGTCCCATTCAAAAACGTCCGGGCTTACTCTGCTGAAGTATCAGTCTGGTCTCTCGGACTCTCGTAGTAGATTTCTAGTTGTCTCTAGTAGTGATTCCCAGGGCATGTGGGTCTTGCCCCTGAGCACTCTGGGGGTCATTAGAAGGCTGGCCTTGCTTCTGGTGCGATGGGTCATGTTTAGAGGCCACAGGGAAGCCCTGGAAAAGACCGGAGGAGCCAGATTTGGGCTCCTGGCTTGTGTCAGTACATTTGGGGTCCCAGTTTGTGGTACTCATGGTGAAAGATGGTCACTGACCTTTCCCCCAAGATTTGGGAATGGTACAAGAGCTCAGCAGGTCCTTCAAGAGACTGTAAGCACCTGGGGACGGTTGTTGGGGGTGGCATAAGCGGTTCCAAGGACTGATCCCAGGGACACTGGGAAGGGTTCTTAGGGGTGACCTTGGCCAAGCCTTGGGAAGCCCCCAGAGAGTGCTCTGGGGCCTGATGTCGGGGACCATGCCAGATGCCCAAGGCACAGTGTTGCCTTTCCAAATGAGATGGCGGTTGCTTCATACTGGCAGGGAAAGACCGAAGAGAAGATCCCGTTCTTTGAGGGCCTTCTTCCAATGGTCCACTAATCACCGCACCCTCCTCTCCCCTCCGACCCCGACTCTCCCAGGCAGACAAGCCTGCTAGTACTCCGCGTGTCTTGCCTTGCCTGCCTCTTGTATCATTTTCTTCATATCTTCCTTCACCAAATCATACCTCCCTTCAAAATGATGTTCAGAACTCCCTTCACCTGCAAGACCTCTCCAACTTAACTCTCTCAGCCCCAGCCCTTTCGTTCACTTATTTGCTTGGCACTGCTGTGCTTGGCTCCTCAGCTCTTTACTTGTTTGCATATGCATGTGTTAGTTTCCTCTTGTCTTCTTGGGACTTTTCTTGTCCATTTGGCCTGTCGTTCCTAATTACATTGTTTCTCAAGGACAAGGATTCCATCTCTCTCGCCCTTTGACTCTCCCTAGTACAGACCAGTGCTCAGCACATTGGGTCAAACAGCAGCGACTGGGATTGGCTGGGTCCACATCCAGGTTTATCACTTGCTATGTGACCTTGAAAAAGTTACATAACCTTTCTGGGCTTCAGTTGTCTTATTTATAAAATGAGAATGATAATACTTTACTCATAGGGTTATTGACTTTGCAGAATGTCTCAGATGTGGTAAGCACTCAGTACATGCTGCCTATCAGTATTATTGTTAATGTTAAAATATTATAAACCATGCCAAAACATTTGGCATAAAATGCCACATACAAATTTTACAGGCCGGTGGTGCTGTCAGTTTAAATCTGTTACATGCTGGCATCAGAAAAACTGTCTTTCCCGACTGAAACACTGTTGATTGCTCCTGTCTCACCCGTTTCCTCCCTCTTCCTTTGATAGGCAGGTCCACCAGATCCAGTCTCACATGGGACGCCTGGAGTCAGCAGACAAGCAGTCTGTGCACTGTGAGTAATTAACTATGGAGACCAGAGTCCTTTCTCTGATGACACGGTGCTAATGGGCTGGGTTTCCTGAGTGCATTTCTGCCCCAGGGGCTTAATGATTCATTGAGGAGTGAGTTCTGTTGTTAGGGCCCAGAAAACCCCGTGGCACACTCGCTGATTTCCCCGATTGTGCCCTTTGGAATCCGTGAGTCTCATCCTCCATTACCCCTCCACTCAACCTGACATGGCCCTGTGGGAGTGGAAGTCTTTTCCTCCATCTGTCTTAATCTAATTACCTAGTCCTTAGAGGAATGCGCTCCGTAAAAAGTCAGACACGCTGAACTGGAATTGGCCGTTTCTTCTGAGCTGAGTACTGCGGCTTTTTAGGAGGATTAGTTAGAAATGAATAGCAATATTAATTAGCTTAGTTCCCACACCCTGTTTTCTTTCTAGAAGAGGGTCGCTTTGTGTTTTTGAGGTTTTTTCCTATCATAAGACAAGGTCCTTTTTCTGAGTTGGTCATGCAGATACTGCTGGTTCCCTGCACGTTGCAGAAGTTCATCTCACCTCACCGTGTGGCTATTGTCACACCCATTTCTCCTCTCTCCTTTCTGCAGCTTCAGAAAGCATCTCTTCTCTTGGTTCTGTGCCCTGCTTTGTTCTAATCTGGATTTGTTAGCTCACCTACAAAGATGACATTACTGTCATGTCTTTCAGGGGCAAGAAGCAGTCTGGATGCCTCTGTGCACAGTTTGGTTTCTGTCCATCGACTTTGTTTGCCTTCCTAGCAGTCTCATTGTTACATGATTAGAAATGGAAAAGAGGTCATTTGGACGGCTTATCACAAGGGATAAGGAAGATGACTGTGTTTATCATATCTTTACCTCTGCGGATTCTTTCCTGGGCCTTTCCTACTGATACTTGGTCTATTTTGGGGACTCCAGCATCAGCCCTCCCATTCTAGTGGAAAGCCTTGAGGGAACTCTTCTCTACGTTTCAATTACTAATCTCCCCCCGAACTTTTTTTTAACCTCATTACTGTAGGGAATTCAGTTGGTTGTCTTTTTATTAGATATTCATAATCTATATCTGAGTATAATCTCAAAGGAAAAGAGACCTCATTCTGTATCAGAAAATATTGCTTAATATTTTATTTGGACAACCTCTAAATGCTCATTTTATTTTCTAAAGGCAGGAAATTTATTTCTACAGATTTACCCTCAGCTTTTTAAGAAATTGGCATTCTTATGGCGTTAACAGCTATTTATACATATTTGAAACATTTACAGACTCAGTATAACTTCAACTTTTTCCATTATTCAATAGTGTACACATTTTTCTCCTTTTGAAATACATATTCTTGAGTCTGTTGGATATGGAAAACAAGATATGTTTGATTTACCATTCTAATTTAAGTTCACTGTCTCTTTTCCAGCAATTATTTTTTTTTCTCTTTCGTGCAGTAGTGGAAAATGAAATCCAAGCAAGCATAGACCGGATATTCAGCCAGCTAGAACGCCTGGAGATTCTGTCCAGCAAGGAGCCCCCCAACAAAAGACCAAACGCCAAGCTGTGAGTGCTCGAACACCCCAGGCCCGAGGGACAGGCCTTTCTCCAGGAGAGGCTATTGGAGGGCCTGAAAATCATCGACACATTGAAAATGGGGATTATGCAAAGATAAAGTCTCCATAGAGGGCACAGTTCTATTTGCGTGATACTGTCTCAGAATAAACATTCTGTGACCTTAGTGGTTTGGAAGCTCTGTGTCCCCTTAACTCATTGATGTCATTTTGAAATTTTGCCTCCAGTACTGTTTCTCTGTCCAGACCCACGGCCACCTGAAGCCTAACGCTGCCGGGAGTTGACTCTACCCTGTGGCTCCCACTACATTCTTGGGTTGAAATGAATCTTGCTCTTAATCACTTCAGTCAGTCTAATTATCATGAAATACCGATCTAATGTCTGATAGTCCCCCATGAAGTTAAAATGAAACCGCTCTCACCACCTCCACGCTAGCCCCTGCTCCCAAAAGTTTCATGAAACGATGTTGGTGCTTTACTCCAAAGATGCCCTTGGGCTTCTTCCAGGAGAGTGATATAATCCACAGAGGGTCAGGAAAAGGTCATCGAGCCGGTTTCCTGTCACCTGTTCCCTGTCATGCATCCAGAATCAGAGACCAGCAGGTATTTAAGTAAAGCTGCTGGAATCTCGTGTGCTGCAACCCTACTTTAACCACAAGCTGCTTCTTTATTTTCGACATCATTGATCAAAATCAGATCCTTGGGGTGGGGGGATAGCATGGAGTGGTATAGAAAGAAGTAAGGAAATGCCTTCCCTCCTCACTCCAAAGCCTGGTGACCTCAAATTGTGCTGCCCTGGGTTCCTGGAATATAATTTCTCTCTCTATCAATTCCAGTCGTGTTGACCAGTTAAAATATGATGTCCAGCATCTGCAGAGTGCTCTCACAAACTTCCAGCATCGGCGACACGCAAGGGAGCAGCAGGAGAGGCAGCGAGAGGAGCTTCTGTCTCGCACCTTCACCGCCAACGTAAGCCAGGCGCCGGGGTGGGGGTCTGCAGGTACTTGACAGTGTGTTGCAGCTGGAGCTCAGGTCTCCAGGCTTCGCCCTTTTAGGTGGCGTCTGAGGCAGACTGATGAGGAGACCAACTGGAAATGACAGTTGACTTTGTGAGTTGCCACGGACTCTACCTAGACAGAGAATCTCTTTTTCTAACACAGAAACATGAAAAGGAAGCAGTTAATGTGAGGGACTGGACAGAGGTGAAAATTACCTGGTTTGACTGGTCTGATGCAGAGAGGTCATGGCTGACAAGGTGGAAGCGTTTTTCTGATCAGATAGGGACGGATGATTAGGACTTAGACCATTTTCAGTGGGGCCGCGTTTCAAAGCTGCCTCCCGGCAGTTGCGGTGGGTGTGCCGCGAGGGTGTCATCCAGTGTCAGGTGCATTAAAATGTTTGTGTTCCTAGTCTGGGTGGGCAGCAATCCGGGAGGAATTTGTTAACAGACACTTTGTTTTAAATGGATGGTTGGACCCAGGCCTGTGTGAAGTGGCCGGTTTTGGTTCACATGTTTGGTTTTGAGGAACACCATTGGCCCTGCCCTTCGGTCTCAGTAGGATCCTTTCCTGCACGTGGCTGTAGAGCAGACTGGCCTTTTCCGCGTCACATATTCCACCCAATGAGGTGGGTTCGGGTGGGTTTTTTTTATGGAGAAATTTATTTTCTAAAGAAGTTATAGCTTTCCTAGCTTGCCATCAGAATTCAGATCAGTTCCCACTTTGCAGGTGTTTCACTCTTTGCTGTGTCCATACTTGCAGTAAATGCCGTCAAGTGTTCCAGAACGTGCCTCCGTAGTGTCAGTTTCTCTAGAGTGAGCAGTCAGGTAGTGATTAACAACTCGAAAGCGTGGTGCAGACCTGTAGGTAGTACAGCGGTACACGCAGCAAACTTTCAAAAGTAATGGACTGTGCAACACCCCGAAAGAGGTTGTGTGGGCTTTTGATTGTTAGGCGTTTTTGGGTTGGGGGTGATAGCTCAGAATTATTTTGTGTCTTACCAGCCTGGTGTGATGTCGTGCATATGTTGGGCCCTTAAAAACCCACTTGCTGGATGAACTACATCCTGGTTATTCTGTTATGTGCATTACCAACCATTTTTCTGAGAGACAGTGGCTCATCAGCTACACCCTTTCAAGTGGGAGAGGAAGGAAGATTTGTATGGGAAAGGCATTCAATAAATGCTTGCCTGACAAATGGAGAGAAGTCTCTAATTAATTCACATACTGTAGTCTTTTGACCCATTGAGCATTAGCTGTAGAACACTTTTTAAGGTGCTGAGAATAAAGTGTGTGAGAAACTCCTGTGTTAGCAAGGGGGATTGAAAATGTGTGCATGAAAAATGATTTTTAACTTAAGCATCCAAATAAATGTGGTTTAACCTCTTTATGATGATTAAAAGGGGTGAAAACAGCCCTGGTTGGCAGAAGAGTGTATGATTATCATCAGGAGGCAGGGAAGAGAACAGAATTGCGGCCGGTCAGGGCTGGCTTCTCGGTGCAGTTCACTCTCAGCGCAAAGTTAGCGCTTAGGCTTGGTCTTGATGTTCCTCCCTGCAGGCGATGAAGAGCAGCCTCCGCACTCAGTGCTGGGGCTCGGTGCCCTGCCGGACTCCTTCCCCGCTCTCTGAGATCTTGAACAAGTTATTCCACCTGTCTGGGCTGCAGTTTCCCCCTCTCTAAAATACGGATAAGGCGTTAACTACCTCAGGAGGTTAGATGAGGATTAAGTGAGCTTAGGGTAATGAGAATGCAAAGCGCAAAGTACTTGATCAGTAGTAGCTTTTGTCTCCCTTCCTTTTTGTGCAGATCTCTCTTGCCCGCCCAGGAGAGTAGTCCCATCTGAACACCATTCAACCATCAGTAGAAAGCACAGTCTCTTCTGTCCTTTGTCAGTCTCGGTCTAATCAGAGGGATAAGCTATAGATAAAATAGCTAAAGAATAAAAGCAAACATTTAATACTGTATTAAGGGGAAGCCAAGTCAAGAAACATTTGGAACAAGCTAGGTCAGTGAATACTCAGAGAGAGCCTTCGAGAGAAGCCCAGGGAGGTCTTGAAGGAATAGAGTTTTTCCTAACTGGGGGTACTGGTAAGAGGCAGGTGTTATCGAGACTCGTGTAGTGGAAGTCTGAGGGAAGTGGACAGAGGCCACCCTAGATCTTTGGTTTGCGTTTTCTTCTCTGTTAGGTTCCTCCGATTCTTGCACTGTTCCCTCTGGCTGTTCCTCTGACTTGGCCTTGGCCAAAAGGCAGAGCAGTCAGACGTGGTGGGACTGTCGGAGCTGATCACCAAGCGAAGTTAATCAAGTGCCTGCGTTTCTTTCACAGGACTCTGACACTGCCATCCCAATGGACGAATCACTGCAGTTTAACTCCTCCCTCCAGAAAATTCACCACGGCATGGATGACCTCATTGGAGGCGGGCACAGTATTCTGGAGGGACTGAGGGCCCAGAGAATGACCTTGAAGGTGGGGGCCATTATGGGGGACAGGGAGAAGGCCTCTTGTTTTGGCCTCATCCAACAGTTTGGTGCCTGCGTTTACATTTTGATTACATGTCCCCAAATTGCGATGCTGTGATGATGAGTCAGAGCCCTTTCGTTCGGGATCCTTCCTGCTGGCGTTGAATTATTATGAGTCCAAAAGGAACCAACTTCCCTTTGCTATTATGTATTCTTGTTGCTTGCAACGAATCATAGTGTGGCATCCTTTGGTATCCAGGTCTTTCCCAGTTTGCTGAACCGACTAGGAAAGTGACCACTGCCGTGAGAGGAACCAGTAGACTAAGGAATTCTGTTCTAGAACCCGCTGTCCTGGGAAGGAAGATGTGGCTGTACTTCGGCACCTCACTCTCGGGTGTTTTCTGGTAGGGCTGCCTTGCGTGTTCAGCGGCAGCTGGCTTCTGGCGCACGTGCAGGTGGTCCCCAGCAGCTCTCCCCTCCCTCTTTAGCTCCAGGTATTGCTAGAAACCCTGCCCATTGGTCGAGACGCTAACCCCGAGGGAGTAATTTACAGAAACATTACACAGACTCTGATGTCAGTCGTGATGTTTCAGCCTCAGCCCTTTTCCTGTATGAACCCTGATGGATAATGGGGTGTGGACTGTGCCTTTTATCAGGGTGTGGTTCCCTGTGAACGGAGCACTGCCAGCCACTGAGCTGTGAGAAACAGTCACTCGGAAGCGTGAGCTTTATCTTAGTTTTTGTTGGATCCTGTTGAGCCGGTCAGCTCCACAAGACTTCGGTACATTTCTGCCGCCTTTGCCAGGGAGAAGGTCAGGCGAGCCACAAGTGACACCTGACCTCCCGCTGACTGCTGCGGTGCTCTAGATGGTCTCCAGTGTGGTCTCCAGCAGCCTCGCGGCCACCTGCCGTAATCTGAACTGATACACGTTGGCTAATCCACCCTCTGTGTAGAAGACAGCCGGCCCCGTTTTCATATCTCAGAAAAACAGTAAAACCCTCTTAGGATGGGACTCGCCGAGTCACACTAACATCGACCCCTGGGGGTCAGAGCTTATTGTGAAAGCAAACGCTGGCTTTCCCCTGCAGTCTGGAGTCACTGAGGAGTGCAGGCAGCTCCCGCCCGCCCTTGACTGTCCCCAGAAGTGAAGTGCCGGGTTGGCCGTTGGAGGCTGGGATGCGAGCTCTCCAATCCCGTTGCCTCTGCGTGCCCACCACTGCCTGTCTCCTGCCACTCCATTCCCCCCACCTCTGGCAGAGAACTTCTGCTTTAACCCTTTGAAATTAACGTGGGAGAGAACATGAGGGAGCTGGGCCGTGGTTTGGGGAGACTTGTTGAAAATGTATATATATTTTTTAAGTTTATGGTAATCTTTAGATGATTTTAGAAGCTTGAGTCTTGAACTTCAGATGATGAGGAAATAACCTATACTTTCAGAGCTGAGCAGAATCTTCAGCGAGAGTCTAATATTTACCATCCCCGGTGTGGCAAAGCCAAGCCTCTGTTCCCTGGCGATGATCAAGTTTGACTTGTGAGATCTCTCTTTGGCGAGGCTGTTGAGTCATTGTCTGGGCAGAACGTAGGTTTGAGTTCCTGTCCATGGTGCCTCGTGAAATTCCTGCTCCTCTGGCCTCATCTCTCAGTTGCTCGTTAATGCGTGTGGTTCATTTGAAAGATGGATGTGGGGCCGTCGGTTGGATGCCGTCCATACAGAAGCAGTTGGTGACGTGGGGAGAAGCAGCTCGGGGTCTGCCCAGCACTCGCTTGTATTTGTTACTTCGTAAGAATTTGAATGTGCTTCCAAAGGAAAGAGAAAGTGGAGAGGAAGATCGGGCTGGGTGGTTTGGGCGGTTGGTTTAGGAATAAAACACCCTCTGTATTCTGTGGTGGGCGGTGGCATTTATATAAAGGGTTTTGGATGATTGTGTTGGTGTCTGTCCGTTGTGTTGCTGTCGATCCGTCTTGCCCGCGTCGAGCCTTCTCGAGAACCTGGGCACTGCCTGCCCATTGTGCTCAGCAGGGTCCCCCGATTTCTGTTCGGCAGGAAGAGACGTCTGACAGCAGCAAGGATTTGGGGGCTGGGAGGAGAGGCTGAGTCTTAATGTAAAATACTCTCAGGGTTTATATTGAGGTGATGTGCACACACAGAGAAGTATACAGATCTTATTTGTACAGGTCATTGAATTTTGACAAACCACGCCCTTTTGTAACTCACACCACTATCAAGACATGGCCTTTTCGTCACCCTTAAAAGTCCCCTGGTGCCCGTCCGAGGCAGGCTGCCCCTCCCCCAGTCCCTGTGGATTTATCGTTCTGATTTATTTAAACCACTGTTCCGATTTATTTCACCAGGAATTAATTCTGCTTGTTCCTGGACTTCATGTAACTGTGTTCACATTACTAGTGTGTGTGTGACTTCCTCCTCTCAGGAGTGTTTTTCTCACTCACTCGTAGTGTTACACGTTAGCAGTTAGGTCCTTTGTGTTGCCCAGCAGTGTCCCGTTGTCAGACGCGTCATAATTGTCCGTCCGTCCTCTGCTGATGCACACCTGCATTCTTTCTGCTTTTAAGATAGTCCGTGTGTTCTTCTGGAAGGCTAATTATAGTTTTAGCCTTCGTGTTTAATTCTATAATCCAAATTAATTTTGTATATATGAATCAAGGATCAGTTTTTATACACATAAATATATATATGATTTATACAAGGAATATGTGCATATGTGATACATAGTATATAACCAATTGTTCCGGCACATTTGTGGGAGAGACTTTTCTTTCCCGTGGTGGTGCTCTGGTATCTTGATCAGAAGTCATTCGGCCACACGAGAGTGGCCCATTTCTGGTTGATGCTGCGCTGTGGACGCTGCAGGCATGGCCAGGAGACCGTTGTTGGTCAAGTCCCGTCTCATGACCACGTCCACCCGCCTTGGGCAGAGAGAGCTGATCTCTGTTTCTTTCTCTCCTTGTCCGCCCAGGGGACTCAGAAGAGGATCCTTGACATTGCCAACATGCTGGGCTTGTCCAACACAGTGATGCGACTCATCGAGAAGCGGGCTTTCCAGGACAAGTACTTAATGGTCGGTGGGATGCTGCTCACCTGTGTGGTCATGTTCCTCGTGGTGCAGTACTTGACATGAGCCAGCTGAGCCTGGCAGCTGCACAGCGTTCCCACTGTGTGTGTGTGTGTGTGTGTGTGAGAGAGAGAGAGAGAGAACATGTGCTCGCGAGGGAGGTTGGGGGGCCCAGAGGCCACATTTCAAAATGTACGTTCATCTTAACTGTGAAAACCACTGAGAAGTCATTGCGGACTGTAACCTAGTGAGAATTTCAAGCCTGCTCTGTTTTCCGAGGCATCTTGGAGGGGAAGCTGGTGCTGCCAAGCTCGGGATGCGTAGGAAGAGAAAGAAGCACCTGTTCTCTCAACGCTCGCCCTCCCTGGGAGAGGAAGTGACGGAAGAGCAAGGGATGAAGCAGGACGGAAAAGAGTGGTTTTGGTGGTTTTGTCCACGTGGCCGGTGCGCACCCCTGGACGGCTTTCGTGGTGACCCTTGTGCACAGGACTGTCCACACTTCGTTATCATCCAGCCTTTCTGGCTCCTGATGGATAGGCTAAAGCAGAAGCGAAAAGGAGGGGAAGGAAGTCTTCCTTTCCTGTGTCCATTGTAGTAAGTGGACTCCGATGCTCTTGCTACTGGCCACCCCCCCAGCCCCTCATGGCAAGCAGATGACTGATCGCCCACACTCGTCGCCCTTCCCCAGAAGCAGCTACTTAGAGGAAACAGGCGTTGCTGCTGCTGCTGCTGCTGGCGAGCAACAGTTTCCACGTTACAGCCGTTGGGTGTTCCTTCTTTCCAAAGTAAGGCCACCGTTACTTTCTGGGTGTGTTCAGGCTTGAGACTAAAAACCTTAGTTACCATTTTTTTTGGTTTTTTGGTAGTTATTAGAATGGTTGGCTTTTAAAGTTCCAAGACTGTAGCCTGGCACCCATGCCCAGGGTTTGTTGGGCGTTTGCCCCTTAGTACTGTGAGCAAAGGAAAGTGATCTGTCAATTTAGTCTCATTTCCAGTTTTAGCATCTCTGATGCTTTGGCTTTCTTCCCTTCCCTTGAAATCCATTAGCAGCTGCCAGCCAAGCCCTGATTGTGCCCAGCCAGTGTGGGCAAATGCCACGCTAAAACCGTCTCTGGTGTCCTTGTGAGACTGTCATTCCAGGGCCCAGGACCCTCTTTCTTCTCTGACCAACCCTGGATTAAGACTGTGCACCACCTGGTGTATTGTGGAATTCGTGGTAAAGCTAGTCTCTATTTTGATTAATTGCTGAAAGTACCAGAAAGCTCTATGCTCAGTAGCCTTATGGCAAGACATAAAATAGCACTCAGAATGTCCCAGAAAAACTGGAAACCTGGTCAGTATTACCCCACCTTTGTCTTGCTCCACCAACCGTCTTTATTTCTTGTCTTTTGGACTACCTTCTGTCATCTCTCCCTTTTCTGTGTGTTCCATTCCAGCTGCCTCACTCACCTCCCATCTGTTTCTGTGGCAGTATTGGTCTCTTCAGCCACATCTGTGACGTAGATCCCCTTTTGGTAAATGTTTCTTACTAGTTCTGCATTTCCTGGGTACTGATTTCATACTTTTTTTGGTGGACTCTCTGTTGCTCTGGGCCCTGGGTTTCTGAGGAAAGGGGAATGTGTGACCCCTTCCGAAAAGGTCTGAGTACCCTGACAGAATGAAAATAGTGGGGGGGGGGGGTTGAGGCATCGTCAGACCCAGATCTAACTTTAGGGAGGTGCAGTTCGAAATTTCCCTCCATGCCCACCACCCCTGCCATCCTGGGGACCTGGCACGGAGCTTTTAGCAGTCTGTAAAATGGGGTTTTAAACTGCACAGACCTGGCTGTCCTATCCCCTTGAAGATCTTGCCAGACCATGTGTGCTTTGGAGGAAGGTGTACAAGGAGCAGCTAAGTCAGTTGGACTTGAACTCTGGGAAACCAAAACTCCCTCCGCTCTCTTTTGTTCTGATGTGACATCCATCCATTTGTGGTCACACCACTGTCTTTCCTCATTTTATAGTGATCGTTGGCCTTGATGAACCAGGAGTAAGGCCTTCCCCCTCCTTCAGAGCCACTCTCCTTCCTTTGTAATAAAAATTGTGGGGGCATTTTTGTGGCTCTTTGCCATCCTGGGCTAGGAAACAGCAGCCATGGTGTGTCTGTGAGAAACCCACTTTGTCCTAACTGGGTGCTCTGTCTCCACAGTCCCAGTGTAGGGAACAGTCCTGGGCCAGGGAAGGAGCGCCTTCTAGTGGAGCTGGGGTGAATTATCACATTGAGCTGGTACAAGGATCTCTAGTTGGCAGCGTCTGTGACCTTGTGCAGCCTGTTGGTACAGGTTTGCCTTTTGAGGCTTGAGATGAGTGGGTTGTCAAGGAACTTGGGAGTATCTTCTTTCTGTGGAATATACTTGTGTGACCACCTTAAGAAACACCAGTCTTGAAGACCAAGTAAGTAAGAGAGTCTTGATTTGTATAGGCTTCATTTCCGGGTTTTTCCCTGAGTCTTTTGCCCTGGTGACTTAAATGGGTTTGATTTGCAAATTTGGACTTGAACCCATTGTTTTGGAAGCATACCAGTTGAATAAAGTTGAGATTTATTTTATTTAGAATATTGTTTTGTAAAGCTATTTAACATTCATTGTTAAAACTTATAACCCTCTTTTTCATGTTTCTAAGTCAGACATTCTCCAGTACTGTTCCGTGGGTAGGGGCTCATCTGGCTGCCTCACAAGCAGCCGGGAAACTTGTCATTACAGATTCTTGGGGCCTACCCCAAACTTTCTGAATCCGAATATTTGTCTTAATCAAAGGTGATAGCATGTGAAAATGTATGATGAACTAGCTTAGCATGTGAGGTCTGTTCAGAAAGTAGCCAGCCACGTGCTATGAAAAAGAGACCTTTATTGAAGAAGATACAAGAAAAATTGTACATAGGACAATGTCATCTTTGTCCGCTTTAAAGTAGACACATAGGGACCTCACACAGTTCTCCCTATTGCCATTAGGTGCCCTGTCATATTTTCCTGAATCTCATCAATGGTCTGAAATTTCCCTTTTCAAAGGTGATTTTAGTTTTGGAAAAGGCCAGAAGTTACAAGGCACCAAATCTGGGCTATAGTGGGGCTGGGTCACTTGGGTGATTTGATGTTTCGCAGAAAAACTCTGCACGAGGCAATGCACGAGCAGATGCGTTGTCGTGATGAAGCTGCCAGTCACCAGTTGCCCATAGCTGCGGCCTTCTGAATCATCTGAATAGTTTCTGTGAAGAATGGTCAAGCTTAATGCAAAATGTGATGCAGATTCATTGCTCTACTTGCTCAGTCATTTTGAATGCAACAGCCACACTGAACACATGCTCACTCGAGGGTGTGTACTGCCCCCACTGACTAGTGCAGTGTAGTCCTCATTGTTCACACGTGCACATTCCAGTTCACTGTCCTTGGCTGTCCAGTTCACTGCCAAGTTATATCTATGTCCTGCAAACTGTTCTTGTTATATTAAAAATGGCTGGGCTTTTTACAGACAGACCTTCAATATTGTGTGAACAAAACTTAAAAAGTCCCCAGTAAAGTCTTATTTGTTTATATCCTATCTTATTCCAGAAAAGATGTGAGGAGACTTGTAGGAAATAACTAAAACAGTGAAATAGAAGTGAGGACCAAGAACAAATCAGAGTAGAATGTCAGTACCAACTCAAGTATGTCAGGAAACCCTTCTGAAGTGCTCTGGGGAATGCCTAATTTGGCTTCAGGCCCCGGCAGCCAAAGCAAAGAGAGGAGCATGACTGAACAGGAACAGGGACGGGGGCAGTGCCATATTTGCTCAAGGGAAAACTCGGACCATTAATGCCGCTCGCTTGCCCGGGGTCCTTACTGGTAGCCAGGCATAGTTATTTTCCTGGCTGTCCCCCGTACGTGGCACAAGCCCTCTGAGTTTGGCGCTGTACTATCCCTGTTGTGTGTCTGAGGAGGCTGCACTTTTAGTGACTTTCCCGAGGCCCCATGAGGAGTCCCGGAGGAGCTAGCCTTCTGTAGGATTTCATCGCCCAAGCTCATACTGCGCTGACCTGGCCCCTGTGCTTGGTATGAGATTCAGGAGACCAAGGCACTCTGCCAGGATTGGTTATAAGGCTAAAAGGCATTTGTTGCACCTTACATAGGAGGTTCTTTGTCTGAAAATAAAACTTTCCCCAGTTGAAGATTTTTATTTTTAGAGGGGGGAAGGAGGGAAAGGAATCATCAGTGTTTGGGTGTCCCCCACATGGGATATGTCCTGCAACCCAGGCATGTGCCCTGACTGGGAATCAAACTAGTGACCCTTTGGTTTACAGGCTGGCACGCAATTCACTAAGCCACACCACCCAGGGCTAGTTTCCTAAATTGAAAGGGGAGAGGCAATTTGGGGACTTCTGCAAGTGGAGAATGGGAGCTGTACTCAGGCCTGGCCACCAGAGGGCGACATAACTATCCGGCTGGTCTGCCCAGAAGAAGCATCTTAGGCCTGTTGTTGAAAGAGGAGGAAACAAGTGCAGATTTGTTTGGTCCTTTTTAGATCCAAAGTTGCGGGCTCAACAGCAGCTCTGAGCTGTACTTGAAGTAGTCAGGGTATGGCCAAAAGACCTCCCAAAGTACCGTTCTAACTTCTAGAACTCCCCTTTCAGTCCCCACAGCACAGGTACAGATGAGCATGTTGCAGACAAGCATGGGAAACATTTCTTAAAGTGTGTTCATTCCTTCTCCCCCTTTTGTGCCCTTTCATTTTATATGTCACATAGAACAAGAGGGAACTGGGGTGGGGGAGTCTGGCAGGTCCTCGGTCCCGCCAAGTGCAGTTGGTACATGCCTCGTCATAGGGCCTCTGAGCAGGTCCCTCTAGCACAGGTTCTCAACTTCAGTTCTGCACAGGGCCCAGCAGGGAAGCCCTCCCGCCTCCTCAGTCCTTCAGTACCCAACTGCCAGAGCCCTGGCCTAAGTCCAGCATCATGTTGGTCATTTCAGGGCAGACGGGCTGGACGCAGCCTCTGCCCCCTGCTCCTGGCAGTAATTAAAGAGGCAGCAGTGAAAGCTGTGGATCCAGAATGCAGACAGTTGGCTTCCGGTCCCAGCCAGCCCTGCTGGTGGCAGCCACATGGCAGGCACCCCCTGAGCCTCATCTTCCTCCTTGTAGAATAGTCTAACACCTGTCCTGCATCCCCTCCCAGGACGGGCAGGGGTCTGAAAGACAGTGTTTGTGGCAGACTCCAGAGGTCTGCAGCAAGGAGTCTCGCCTTTGTCTGAACTGCAACCACCTGGAGAGTTTAATCAGTCCCCGTTCTGGGGCTTGTCCCCAGAGGTTTTGAGCTACTTGATCTGGAATATGACCTAGGTTTCAGGGGGAAAATTTTTTTTAACTTTCCAGGAGATTCTCATGTGTTGTCAAGGTTGAGAACCACTGCCCTGAATACCTCCAGGTGTGGTGGGTTATTCCGGTTTTAACTGGAAAGGCAAGAACCCTTTTTATTAAATAAAATATTTTACTTATTTTTAGAGAGAGGGGAGGGAGGAAGAAAGAGAAGGAGAGGAACATTTATGTGAGACATGGGTTGCCTCTCGTTCATACCCTGGCCAGGAACCAAACCTCCGTATCCCAGGCATGTGCCCTGACCTGGAATCAAATCAGCAACCTTTCGCTTTGTGGTATGATGCCCAACCAACTGAGCCACACTGGCCAGGGCGTGACAAGGACTATTCACATGGGATAACTGGAAGACAAAGCAATGGAATCTCCAAGGCTGAGGGACAAGAGTTGAGAGAGGCTGTGGCAGTGGGGGCGCTAACTAGGAGAGACTTTCTGGGGGAGAACAAGGTGGCCGGGGCGGCTGAAGGAGAGGAGGAACTGGAGAGGTCCGGGGGAGGAGGGCAGCATTGGGGAGTTGATGGCTCTAAACCGCCTTTAGCTGCCAAGGACGAGGAAGGAGAGCTGCTGGGAGGGCCAGTGGCCGCTGGCGCTTGGCTTACATCTTCCTCACGCCAGCACATCCGAGAAATGATTGCTGCTCAGAGGCCAGAGGAGCCTGAGGTGGAGCTCGGAGACAGGTGGGTGGGCTGTGCAGAAGGGAAGCTGTTTCACTCCCTTTTTTCCCTTTTCGGCCCAGCCAGTGGGCTCCACGTCCTTTCACCCGAGACAGTTTGGGCAGAGCCCACCCTCTGGCCCCGCTCACCTCCGGGCACCTTTTGGCATACTCTGCACCCAGGGCATGTGCAGGGACGGGGCAAGGTGTCAAGTAGTTACGGTGAGCGCCAGTCCAAAGGCTGAACTGTCATTTCAGTCGAAGTTGGCTGCTGAGCCTGAACAGGATGGGGATGCGGAGTGTCGCCTCAGGGTGCTTTGGGTTCCCTGCAGTCGGCTGCGGGGCTGCAGGATGTTCCTCCTCCAGAGGAGGTTCTGGAGTTTCGGAGAGCCCCCGGGCCAAACATCGATTTTGTTCTGGAGCTAAAACTGCCACGGCATTATGGACTGGATGTTGTACTACTGCCTTTTTAGGTAGCGGTGGAGGCTGAGCTGGAGTTTCCTGCTGGGACGGAGACAGTTCTGTCTTTTCAGAGGGCTGTGGAGGACCTCCCACCCTCTTAGGTTTGACCTCTTCCGTGTACTTTGGAGGATTGGCTGAGGCCTCTTGTTCAGGTTCAGACGGTTCGGTCTCCTTGGAAGGATCTGAAGGTATCAAACACCCCAGACCCACAACTTGAGCATTGGTATTAGGCAGCACTGAATGCTGAGCTTCACTTGAGCCTAGAGGTGAGACTGTGGCTTCATGATGCACTGAAGACTGTGCACCACACCCGTAGGGAGTTTGGAGGCTGAGCCGGACCCTTCTGCTCAGTTGAAGGAGGCTCTACACCAGGGAGAGGCACTTGAAGCTGAGCTGAGCTCTCCTGCTGGATTGAAGAAGAATCAACCATTTTGGGAGGGGTTTGGGTGGATGCTGATCTGGAACCCTTTGGTGGACTGACTAAGGTTTCAGCAGCCCAGGAGATACTGCACACTGAGCCTGAGACCTCTTGTTGGGATGGAGAAGATTAAAATTTTTTAGGAGTGGGCCTGCGAACTAAGGGATCGTAGTTCAATTCCCAGTCAGGGCACATGCCCAAGTTGCGGGCCAGTTCCCAGTGGGGGGACACATGAGAGGCAACCATACATTGATATTTCTCTCCCTCTCTCCTTCCCTCCCCCTCTAAAGATAAACGAATGAAATCTTTAAATAAATAAATAATTAATTTTTTCAGGAGTCTGTGCTGAAGCCACCTCCTGGGTTGAGGATGGTTCTTCCTCCTCAGGGGCATCAGATTGCTGAGCTGGAGCCTCCTGCTGGGCTGTAGAAGGTTCATTTCAGTTCCCAGGTGGTTGTGGGTGTGGAGCTGGGGTGACCTGCTGGGCTAAAGAAGATCCTGCCTCATTAAGGGGCTCTGGAGGCTGAGCTGAGGCTTCCCGTGGGAGTGAGGGAGGTCAGCCTCTTCACAGGTATTCAAAGACTCGGGTTCAGGGAATTGCTGATCTGAAGGCCAAGACCTGGTCACCCAGGGAGGACAGAGGTCAGCAGGACAGGGTCCAGGGCCAATTCCAGGAGCTG